CTCCTTTGAAAGGTTGCTCAGCTTGGTTTGCAGAGTCAGCTCCTTTGAAAGGTTGCTCAGCTTGGTTTGCAGAGTCAGCTCCTTTGAAAGGTTGCTCAGCTTGGTTTGCAGAGTCAGCTCCTTTGGCTCCCATATTTTCTTTAACAGCACAAATGTTAACCTAACCCAGTGATTGGCAAACTCATTGGTTCAAAGAGCCAAACATCATCAGCAGGACGATTTTAACAAATTTGAGAGCCAAATTTCTTTTCAAGAACCATGTTTTGGAGTCAAAAGTGATTTGTAGCCTGCTGGCCGAGCCACACTCGGGTCCCCACTGACCTAGCCTTTCCAATTCTAGCCCTAAAATCAACTTCGGATCCACCATTTATGTCAATGGGGCTGCCAGAGTGCGTGAAGGCCTCCACTTCTTCCAATGCATTTCCTGCCAAAGGGATATGCTCTTGGCTAACCGAGTTTATCTTTGTCTTGCTTTTATTTATATTGAGTCTCAGCTGTGCTGAAATGGTGGCTACATCTTTTGTCTTTTCCTGCATTTGTTGCTGGTTGTGGGACAGAAGTGATATGTCATCTTCAAAGTCTAGGTCATTCAGCTGTTTCCAAGTGATCCACTGTTTCACTAAAAATGCTTCTCTCCCCCCCCCCCCCTTTTTTTAAAAAAATTAATTTATTTAAAAAAATTTTTTTTAAAGTTTACAATAATTAGTATGTACTCTTAGATAATGCATAGTTTTCAATGGTGATAAGTAAAGAATGCAGTGCTAGGTAAATTTGACTCTTGTGTGGTAGAGCAGCTCAGCTTTAAGGATTCTGAGCGATCCAAATGCAACAGTGATCTTGTTATATATATCGCGATTCTAAATTTTAACAATCGTGGCACCACAGGCTGCTCTCACAGCGCCAACAGTCAACTCCCAGGAGTCGGGATGGTATGTTTGCGTCCTAAAATTTTCCCCCTCCCATCCCAGGGAAGCATCAGACGACCTCTAATAAGGATTTCTACAGTGGCTTTCTACTTCTTAACTACTTTACGAAGCAGCTGGGACAAAACGGTTGCATAGGGACAGCTACCTCAATTTCTTTGTAAATAGAAACATTGGCATGAGGTTGCCACTAGCCACCTCATGTCTCATGTCCCTTTACAGCCACATGTAATCATGTTCCTTTACAGCAACATGTAATCATATCCCTTTACAGCAACATGTAATCATGTCCCTTTACAGCCACATGTAATCATGTCCCTTTACAGCCACATGTAATCATGTCCCTTTACAGCCACATGTAATCATGTCCCTTTACAGCCACATGTAATCATGTCCCTTTACAGCCACATGTAATCATGTCCCTTTACAGCCACATGTAATCATGTCCCTTTACAGCCACATGTAATCATGTCCCTTTACAGCCACATGTAATCATGTCCCTTTACAGCCACATGTAATCATGTCCCTCTACAGCAACATGTAATCATGTCCCTTTACAGCCACATGTAATCATGTTCCTTACCCTGTTTTGCCTCCTACAAATGTTCAGGTTGATATAAACTGTTAATAGTGTTTAAAATGGTGCTGCTGTAGAGGACAAGATAAAAGTCCTAAAATTAAAATATGTCTTATTCTTAAAGAAAAAAACAACTACTATTAATTAGATTTTAAATAGAAAATTAAAAACTTCTCTGTTAGAAATTAAAGTGGCTTTTATTGCAAAGGCTTTAACACTAACAAGGAAAAATATCCAGACTTCCAGCATGCAGCTACTATGCAATTTTTTAATTTTAAACATTTTAATTGCCATCATAACTATGCTAAAAGAATTTTTTTTCTTGCTTTTGGTTTGGCATATTGATTGTCAGCATCATTTTCAATAGACTGCATAGCCAAAGATGTGAGCCTTTCCTGAGTCGTCATAGATGCTCATAAATAGGTTTGAATCAATTTTAGATTTGAAAAAAAACAACATCTTTATCCAGTTGCAACATAAACTGGAATTGTCATCAAAATTCTAAGACAAATTGCTCTATTTGGAAGAACATCCAGACATCCTTTAAAATGTAAGAATATTCAGTGGTGATTTCTTGCATGTCTGATATATATGTTTGCAAATTTTGTAACTGTACACATTTTCAAATATTACTAATGATAGACTTTTTGCTCTCTTTTAAAAATTGTTACTTTGTTATTTCATTTGATCAAATCATTCTGTCAAAGAAGCAATAACGGTATCAAAATGATATTTTTAAAAAACACACACAAAAAAACAGTAGTCAGTAGAGTAGCCAGGTTTTGACGCCAGGGGGGAGTGAAAATTGTTTGTTTTTTTAAAGAATAATTTTACCAAAATAAAAATTGTTTGATTTAAGATTTTAAAATTAAAGGGGCAGAGATATAATCTTTGATTTGGGGGAAATTAGGATGGGGCTGGGAAATTCAAAATGCAGGATTCCAGTTTGGCGCATCCCGGATTTTAGTTTTTCCTCATTGCACTGTTAATGGGAGAGCAACAGAAGAGATGCTAGTAGAAATTGAGGCTCACTGGCCTTAACAAAAATATACAAAAACCATTAATTTTAGTTTTTACCACATATTAATGCGACGGTTAGATAGATTATTGTTATATTTACTATGGATGAGTGTTAATTACTTCATTGATAAATGATTTTTTTTTTTACATTTCAGTCCAAATTTTTTTTTTTTTTTTAAATCTTGTCATTATGCTACCTTAGCAAAGCCCTTGGTACACAAGACGCGCGTTAGCTCTCCGCGTTATATTTACTTCAACGGCAACCAGTAATTAGTGTCGCACATTTGACTGGCCAACCTGGCAGCTTTGGGCGGTAGAAGCACTCCGTATGGCGGCTTTCTTTTTCGCAGCTATTCCTTTTTTTTTTTTGTTTATCTGCGCTACAATTAGGATGGGACAAGACGAGCAGTGGATACATTTCGGATTTTGTTAATTTTATTTAAACTCATTTCAAGTTTTTTTTATTTTTTTTTTTTTTTTTTTAAGTTTTTCAAGTTTTTTTTTTTTTTTTTTTTTTTTTTTGTTCAGCAATCACACGGAAGAAAAACATCTCTATTCATTTAACACGAGCACCCCCACCCCACCCCGGCTCCCTCACTAGCTACGCTACAGATGGAAGATTTCAGTAGGATAACAGGCTTCAGGATCTTCAGTAGATTCGATAATTAAACGGACTGTTGTTGCGACGAACTCTCTAAGTTTGCTGTAGATTAACGACTGGCTCACCATCAAAAGTTGCTGCAAGGTTTTTTGGGCTGTAATCTCTGTCTCTCAATGTACCGGTATTTTTTTTTTTTTTAAATGTGTTTGCTTCTTCCATAAGTATAGTAACAATTCAAANAAAAAAACAGCTATTCAAAGACATTTGTACAGGTCAGACCTCAACATCATAAAACCTAAACACTAGACTCCCTTAAACTTCTAGAGTATCAAGAAACCTTCCAGAATTTAAACCAAAATCCTAAAAGTTTGAATAAAAATAATATAACTAATTGGAGCTCGCTACAAGAAAACGAAATGGTGTAAAATATAAGGAAAAAAGTGAACATTTCCATAAACATCTAGAGCAGCACACACACACAAGTTCTTTGTTTCAAAATTATTCTAGTACTGAAAATGCCTTGTATAAAGATATATATATATATATATATTTATTTATTTATTTATTTATTTATTTATTTTTTTTTTGTGTTGAAAAATCTATTTGTTAAGCACTTATTTCAAACTGCTTTATCGGCGTGCTGCCTGTAACCAATGAAACGCGCTCTCATAAAGACCCTGTTATCCCAAGTGCCTTCGTTACCCAATTTACCCCCTTGGTCATTGGTCTTTTCATTCAGAGTACGGCTTGCATTCAAGAAATACATAAATTAAACACTGGGCTTACTTTATGATCAGTCCCCCGCCACTACTGTTTTCAGTGGACAACTGGGCTGTACAATTATTTCATTTAAATAGATGTTACACACATCGGCCACGTTGATTGTAAAAAAAACCAAAATAAAATAAAAAAATATCGACGAAGAGTCATTCCACAACATTATCTACTTCATATGTGTAAAACGCCTTGTCCATGAATTTAAGCAGTTAAATCAAAACGACGCCCCTAGAATTTGGCGCTCCAGGTAGTTAGTTGCCTGTTTAACCTGTACCGGGTACCCAAGGCCGGCGGTGCCTGTAGATCAGTGGTTCTCAACATTTCTAATGCCGCGACCCTTTAATACAGTTCCGCATGGTGTGATGACCAACCCCCCCCCCCAACCATAAATTATTTTCGTTGCTACTTCATAAATTTGTGTTTTCCGATGGTTTGAGGCGATGTTCTTTCGACCCCCCCAAAGGGATCACGACCCACAGGTTGAGAACCGCTGCCNAAAAAAAAAAAAGAAACACTTTTCATGAAAATCATAACTCTTGATTCAGTGTCCGCCTGTACAAAGTTAACTGACCACGCATTTTGGACCAGCAAATGAGCCAAAAACAACAAGAAACTGAACACAATCTCTGGTACTCGGAAACCAGCACTGGTTTAGAACAACACGCTAAGAAGTGACCCCTGATGTCACCACCGGCTTTTTCGAGGGAAGTGACAAAACTGCCTTCGTGGCAATGGGGTCATAATTTCGGGCCCTTAAGTTTGACATGATGCATGAAGTAACGTTTGAAAACCACTGACAAAGAAAACAGAAAAAAAGTCTCTTTAATGTTGAATCGCCAGAGTGACAGCAGCACCCTCTACACCGTTGTTCCAAGGTCTGCTGTTGTAAGTTTACTTCTTTTTTTTTTTTTTTTTTTTTTTTCGGCGCTCCCTCTCCCCCCCCCCCCCCCCTTCCCCTCTCCCTCCCTTTTTAAAAAAAAAGTTTGGACGTGGCGAGCGCGTGATGGAAGCGTTCTGTGGGCGCTACACTGACGTTATTGTACACGCAGAAAGCCCGCGGCGTGCCATCGCACATGGTCTACTTTTGTTCTCACTCGGCTTCGCTCCTCTCGCCCAGGGTGGATGGCTCCCCCACAATCCACTGTTTTACCTTCACTGCTCAACAGTGATATCACGCGTTGATGTAATTTTAGATCCGATAGGTGTGTCCTAGACGCGAGCAAATGTGTTCCTTTCCTGAATTATGTTGGTTTCCTAAGAGTCCAACCGAACTAAGGCCATATGTCTTAAACCTGTTTTTGAAGTTTCCATTGTTCGGACTTATGTTATTGTGTGGATAGAATTATTATTTGTTTATTTATTTTTTGAACACCGTAACACGCCGTTGACAAGACTGAAGTGTGTGATCATTCATCGCGTGTACTGTGTGATCATTCATCGTGTGTACTGTGTGAGCCAAGCTGGCGGAATTTTATAATGAACAGGCATCGTGAAACAACACCATAGGAAAGTTGCAAAGGGAATAGACAAGCAGGTGAAACACTGCTGGATAGCGTTCACCTTTAGTGCAGGTTGGTGAGAGGAATGATACAAGAGATCGAATTGCAGAAGAGTTCATCGCAGTCAAACTAAATATATATAGCCGCTGTAGAATTTTGTAAACACTAGCTAGTGTAAAGTTTTGTGGTCTAAGAATCTTATAATGCAGGCTTATTTTATACATTGCTAGCATACACAGGCGTCTTTCGTAACTCTTATTTCTTGTGGAAATACTTACGGGAATTCACTTTCTAATGCAGTCGCTGTAGCTATGTTCATCGTAGCTGCTTTGCAGGATTAGAGAAGTATCCACGTTAATTGTTCTTGTGGACGTCGTGTATTTCATTCGTACGGTACTATAGTGCCCCACTCTTGTTCAGTGCCGCGGTAACGGAATACTTAGGGTGAACGTATATGATCCCGGAACATGGGCAATGTCGTTTCCAGATGTGCGCAAAACCTGCGGAACGCCCTGAGAACCTGCTCCAAGAAACGCCCCGAGGATGAGGCCATGCTCAGCGTGTGCGACAGCGAGCCCCTGGACAAATGCCAGGAGCCGCTGTTCGACACGTCCCGGACCGGTGTCCACCACGGGGCCGGCAGCGGCAGCAGGTCGGGCAGCTGCTCGTCGCTGGCAAGGCTGCAGGACAAAATGGAAGTGGTGGACTGTAAGATATTGCCCTCGACGCCGAGAACGAGCGTCAGACGCAGCACGCCCCGGCGCAGCACGCACAGCAGCAAAGGATGCCAACACGTGGAACATTCCGAGAGTAGGGGTCAGTCGCAAGACCGGTCGTTTGTCGACCAAGAATCTCAAACCAACGCGGTGGACAGTGACCCGCCAGAGGCGGCGTGCCAGGAGGCCGTACTGAGCAAAGAATATATCGTAAAAACTTACAGCATCCAGAATGCCACGCCGTCCCCGGCTACCCAAGCCAAGTTCCCACCATCGCCACTGCCCCCACACCAGGAACAGGTATGGCTGGTCTTAATGACATCTACATACCTTGCATAGAATTGACAGTACCGGTATGTAACTTTGGCACACCTGGTTGACTGTCCCCGTTGCACTTCATTTCATCCTCTTTATCGGAACATTAGCTGCTGTTTACTAGTCCCCCCCCCCCCCACTTATTTACACCCCGACCCCATTTATCATGACTTTAAAAACATGTCTTTTCAAGGAAACGTTTTAAAGTCTACAGTTTCTATTTCTAATGCCCCGCCCCTTTAATACAGTTCCGCATGGTGTGATGACCAACCCCCCCCCCCCCCAACCATAAATTATTTTCGTTGCTACTTCATAAATATGTGTTTTCCGATGGTCTGAGGCGATGTTCTTTCGACCCCACCAAAGGGATCACGACCCACAGGTTGAGAACCGCTGCCGTAGATAGATTACATTAACACCATGTCTGTTATCATGAATATTCTTTTTAAGAAACCAAACAGAACAAGGTTTATTCTCATAAAAGAGCTTGTACGCATACAGCGAGGCCTGTGTGGTGAGTTGAGGTGAGGAGGGGAATCGGGCGCCGGGGAGAGGGAAGGGGGGAGGGGCGGCGACAAAAGACGGCCTGGAGAGATACGGTCCCGAAAGAGCGGCGTTTGAAAAGTTTAACTCTCTCACTACATTAAGTAGTGGTCGTTCGGTGCTTTCAACAATTTGTTTCACACACAGAGAGAGAGAGAGAGAGAGAAGGGAATGGGTGGGGCTGGGGGGTGGTCGGATGATAGTGGAAAACGCAAGGCGTCACCTAAAAAGAGCGCTTATCCGCCGTTTAAAATTGGGTGGACTGATTTTTTAATTATTTTTTTTTTTGTTCGGTCTCCCTTTCCCCCCCCCCCCCCCCCCCCCCCCCCCCCTCTTTCTTTTTTTAAATTTTTTTCCCCCTTTTTTTTTTT